TTGCATAGCATTATCCCATGTACGACTTGCAAATGACTTGATGCATGAGGTGACTTGACTCAGGGACTTGACTTGAAAGCATTCTTGGTAAATTGACCTGGGACTTGGTGATAATGACATGGGACTCGACTTCGACTTGTAGGGTTACGAGTAAGTCTAACCTTATCTTCACACGGCACATCTCTCCATCTTTGCTAGACGGCTGACCACTGAAATTCTGAAAAGTGTTTTGGTTTCAGCTATGTTTTGCTGATGCAAATTCCATTTCGGGACCAGAAGCCCAAAGGTTCCGTCGTCTAGTTACTGAGCTGAATGCTTGACGCGACACTGTGAGTTATGGATTTCCTGTAAAATGTTTTTTTATTCTTGTTGTGCCAGCGACGTATTGTTGACTGTACTAATAAAATCGTCGGTGGCCGATTACACACAGAATCGTGTGTACTTTTGCGGGTGCAATACTGGCTATCAGGATTTACCCTTTATGCCAGTTTTGCAGATATGGTGTGTGACCGTCAGTGTTGGTACATCTGATTGCTGCTTTATGCATTTTTACTTTGCATGTGCAAGCTGAGACTGTATATTTTCTCAATTTTTCCAGAGTACAGTGGAGGACATTTTGAGTTATTTCCACTGGCGCAGGAACGGGGCAGTTATGAGGTCACCCGTCTGCTTATAAAGGATTACTCCTGAAAATATGATTGATTTGCGCCTCTCTTACTACTCGCGAGGACGTGAATTGTCAGGAATAGGTTCTGTGGTTTTATAAAATATTACAGAGAACACCATGGGACATAAACATTCATAATACAAATTTCTTCAAAGCAGCGAAATCGCAAAAAGAAATTATTACTCCAACTAGAGAAAAGACTAGCGACATTCTTTGGGACGTCATAAATGAATGTTGAATTAGGAATCGACATCACAGCACTCAGGACACTCTCGTAAGCGCTCCGTCCCCATCTTCAACAGCAAGCGAAGAGTTAAAATTCCGATAGTACCAGTAACAGTCTGATTGTATATCCGTCTCGCCCTTCCCCTGAGTGTCGACCGTCGGTCAAATCCCATTGTAACTCCTCGCAGTGCCTTTCTCCTCAGATCGTAATGATCTATGTTCTTCGGCACTGTTCACTCGCTCCAAATTGGCGCTCACAACATCCAGCCAATCAGATATCAGTTCACCACCAAGTGGTGCAGAAACGGCCAGCCTATCTGCCTGCTTATTTTCCAACACGCCAGCGTGACCTGGAGAAAATATCCAAAGGATGCTAACTACCTGGGACCTCTGAAGTGATGCTTGCCAAACTGCACTGAGGATGCCTGTTTCCACCTTTCTCAGCATGCTCTGTGAGTCAGTTACAAGGACGTCATGTGTGCACAGCTGATTCTCAAGCCAGCGGAAGGCAGCAGTGACCGCCTCCACCTCAATTCTCAAACTAGACGTTGTGATATCATATGCCAGGCTTTGTTGCGCCAAGTGACGTCCATTCGCCTTCGCTATGAACCCCCATGCACTGCATCTGTCCCTCACCACAGAGCCATCTGTATATACAATCACATCACTTGGGCGGGAATTGTCTTGGGTAATTTGTATAATTTCTGATTCTACAGCACCAGCTGGCCACGCCCTGCACTCACATCCCAAAGTGATCAGAACACTACAAAAGTCTGAAACATGATCTGACACTTTGACTCACTCCTCTCCTGGCGTAAATTTATCAAGCCTGCACACATGTCCAATAATGTCTTCAGCTTGCGCCATCCAAGACTTTCCCCTTTTCAGTCCGTGGCCCTTAGCTCTATCCAGGGCTTCATGCAGGAGGTGCCTCTTGTCCGCAGCTTCTCTGAGATATGACTTTGCTTGCAGAATTTTAAGCCTATCTGCAATAGAAGGCAGTGCAAGTATATATCGCATACATACTACCGGGGTGTCTCTTGTTCATCCCAGAATCACCCGCATGGCTTCATTCTATATGCGTTTAAGTTTCATCAGCTGACTATTTGATATGGTAAGCATGCCAAGTCCATAATCTATCACTGACCGGATCACATGCTGGAACATTGTGAACAACATTATTTGTTCCATGTCCATTGCTGTCATAATCTTGAGAGCACTGAGTCCTTTTTGGCATTTCACTGCAAATCCATGAAGGACAGGCTTCTATTGAAAATGATACCCAGGTATCTCAGTTTGCTTTCTCTTTTGATGTTACTGTTATGAACTGTGAGGTTTGGAACGCCAGCTTTTACAATTCTATTGTCCAGAGAGCACCACAAAACAGCTGCCTTTTCTGAGTTGATGACAGCACCCATTTCTGCACACCAGTCAGTCCCTTTGTCTACAGTAGCCTGTAGCTCGTGAGCTATCGGTCGCCTATCTCTCCCCAGCTTTTATGCAAGAACATCATCGGCAAATGTCAATATTGTTCCAACACCTGGTGGACGTCATAAGAAAGGGAAACTGAATTACATCAAGTAATGTGAATTTTTAAGAGAAGGAGAGTCACTAAGAGAGCAAATGTTGGACAGTTTAGGATCATGATACAGAAGAATATATATATATATACATATACATATATATATATATATATATGGCGCACTCAGGTCACTTTCCATCGTTCGTCTCCATGTTGTTTTTTGGGCGCCCCTGTTTTCTCTTTCCCTTTGGTGTCCATGTCAGAGCTGTTTTGGCAGGTATATCAGAAGTCATTCTCATAACGTGGCCAAGCCATTTCCATCTTCTCTTGGTAATCATACTGTCTAAAGTTTCTTGGTTTGTGGCTTGAAGTAGTTTAGTGTTTGAGATTGTATCTGGCCAGAAAATGTTGATAATTCTACGTAGACATGTGTGGTGGAAGGTGGACAGCTTGTGTCCATCCTTTTTGGTCATTCTCCAGCATTCCGCTCCATAAAGAAGAACTGGCAAAATGATGTTCTTGTAGAGTCGGAGTTTCGTTCCTCTGCAGTAATTGTTGGATTTCCAGATTTGCCTCATCCTTCCAAAAGCAGCTCTAGCTTTGTTCAGACGTGACTGTATGTCTTCCTCTGTCCCTCTCAGTAGGGACACCACACTGCCAAGATATGTGAAATGTTCTACATTTTCAAGTGATTGGTTACTTATGGTCACTGGTTGCTGGTTTGGACTGTTTGTCATGATCTTAGTTTTCTTTGTATTTATTCTCAGTCCCACCATTTCTGCTGTGCAGTTTAGTCTGTTACTTTTCTCTTGTATATGTTCATGTTTATGTGATAGGAGTGCTATATCATCTGCAAAATCAAGGTCCTCAAGCATGGTGAATCGAGTCCATCGTATGCCTCTTAATGTCCTGTCTACTGTGTTCTTTAGTATCCAATCAATCACAAGGTTGAAGAGGAGAGATGACATAACACATCCCTGTCTTACACTCGTCTTTACTGGGAAAGATGTATTGTAATTTTTTTATACTGCAGGAAAAGTCTTTATAGAAGAGAGCAATTATGTTGACTATTTTTTCTGGAATTCCATAATGTCGTAAAATTTTCCACAGACCGTCTCTATGGACGCTGTCAAAAGCTTTCTCAAAGTCCACAAATTAATATATATACTTCTCTGCCATTCGTTGCATTGTTCTAAAATGTTACGTATGGCGAAGATGTGCTCAGTTGTTCCTCTGCCCTTTCTGAATCCTGCTTGTTCCACTCGTAGGCATTTATCTACTCCTTTTTCAAGCCGCATTATGATGATTTTACAAATTATTTTGCTTGGTACTGAGAGTAAAGTAATTCCCCTCCAATTATTGCAGTCTGTTAAGTCTCCTTTTTTAGGGATTTTGACCATTGTTCCTTCAGTCCAGTCACCAGGCAACACTTCTTTTTCCCAAATATCTTTGAACTATATATATATATATATATATATATATATATATATATATATATATATATATATATATATATATAATTAATGACTAACAGTAGATGTCACAGGAATCCCCGGGCCGTCTAAATTACCATTCTATTGCTACTGACAACACGAAACTACAAGGTTAATATATTGAGATAAGGTCAGTGTAAATTGACTATTCAAGGGGAAGTGTATTTTGTAACTTAAAAATCAACAAGGGTGTCAGTCGATTAACGGTAACAATGTGTGGTGCGGCTAAGTTGTTCGCTCGGAGCTATGTGCACTTGCATATGAAGTCATGAGATATCTGTCATGTCAGTACGTACTGTACTTTTCGAGATAGCCGATGATATAAGAGAAACACATGGACAACCAATTGTGTCAGCAGTTATAGATGGCAATGTGTAGGTGACATCGTGAGAGGAGACAGAGAAACACGAAACAGCCACTGGAATACGGGAAACACATGGACTGAAGAAACGAAGATGCCTAAGAAAAACCCCAAGGCTATTGTTGCTAAAAGAGGTCAAAGGTGCTGGACTCGATTCCATCTAGCATATCCAAACATTGCACAAAATGGAATAGAACCGAATGGGTTCTTCAGTGGTTTATGGCATAACAGTATGAACATGGGCGATACACTGTAGTAGGCACCCCCTTGACAAGCCCGTGCCACACACTCATTACAAAAATATTAGTTGCGTATCCTTTACAGGGCATTGCAGAATAAACACCAGCATCTTTATGTTTTTTTTTTTTTTTTTTTTTTTTTTTTTTTTGTGGTTTTTCTAGGCAAATTTACGTTTAGTAGTTTGCCATTATTTTCTGGGCGGTCATTACGAATCTCGTTCGCAACGCTTAACTTAAATCACAGACGCCGACACACACACTCATTAGTACAGCATCAAAATCAACATCACTACTGCGGCATTCAACAAGAGCGTTGTTTTAAAGCAAAAATTAGGTTTTATTCAATTTAAATTCAACGCCTTAATTCTTGAAAAAAAAAAAAAAAAATAAAAACAAATGACCCAGCATTATGGTAGAACACTTTCCAACTAAAGACACTAAGGATTATATCAGAAATAAATCCACGATTGCCGTGAATACGACATCAGCAGTTTTATCGCTCCCATAGAAACCGAACCAGACATGACGCCGTCATCATGGAGATCACAACCATGACCGCATGAATCGCTGCAACATGGTGCTGATATGCCGCATCCGACTTCGGTGCTGTTTTTTCCATCTCTTTGATCTCCTTCAGTTTTGCCTGCAGACAACATTGAACTGTAGTCTTAGACTTGGCCAATCTAATCGTAAAATACACTTTAGACCACGAACTATTTATTCGTGGTAAATATATTTCTGTAACAAATTTATTAATCTCTAAAATGATATTTTTGTTTCATTATTTTTACAGTCAAGATGGAAATGAAAAGAATGAACATCGACATATTAGGAATTAGTGAAATGCGATGGCCAGGAGCAGGTGAAAAGTATTCAGATCAGTACAGAATTATTTAGTCGCCTGGGAAGGAATATAGTAAGGGAGTTGTTATTATTTTGGATCAAAATAACTCAACAACTGTGAAAGGATTTTGGACAATATCAGATAGAGTACTATTAGTACAACTTCGCGGCAGACCGTTTGACATCAACTTAGTACAGATTTATGCCCCAACAGCAGATAGTTCAGAGAAGATATTGACGCATTTTATGACGAGTTAGACATGGCTGTTGATCAATGCAAAAATTGTGAAGTAACAATGGTACTTGGAGATTTCAACGCGAAAATATGAAGTGAAAAAGTGTACGGAATAACGGGTGGCTATGGCCTAGGAGAAAAGAATGTGAGAGGTGACAGATTAATAGCATGGGCTGAGTCACGCAGCATGATAATAGGTAACACCTCTTTTAAACACCATCCTCGAAGATTGTGGACTTGGAAAAGTCCTGGTGATAATGTCCGCAATCAGATTGATTATATTTTGATTTCAAAAAGATTCAGGAGCAGCTTAGCTGGAGCAAAAACTAGACCAGAAGCAGACTGCTTTAGTGACTATGTTCCAGTTGTTAGAAAAATTAGAATAAAACTAAAGAACATTAGAAAAATAACACAGAAAATCAAGTTAAATTTAGGAATTCTTAGAATGGATAAAGAAATTAGGGACCAGTACAATGTCACTGTACAAAACCGGTATAATGCAATGGAAATTAGACAGACTATTGATGAACAGTGGGATATGATGCGTGAGTCAATTCAGCAGACATCTAAAGAAACAATCCCACCAACCCATAGAGTTGCAAAAAAGAAATGGATGTCAACCGAAATTCTGCAGTTGATGGATGAGAGAAGGAAGAAAAAGAATGATAAAGAATACTCTAGAATACAAAAAGAAATGGTGAACAAATGCATGGTGGCTAAAGAAGCCTGGCTAAATCAAATGTGTACAGAGATTGGGGAAAACAACAGGAAAGTCTCACATTCCATGTACCAAAAGATAAATATGTTAACACTAAAGATGACACGTAACAGCACTGGATGTTTGAAATCAAAAGATGGTGACTTATTAATGGGACATAGTAATATAATTAACAGATGGACAGAGTATATAGGGGAATTGAATGATGATAATAGACCAGATGTAGAACTGCAGACCAACAATGATGGTCCACCAATAATGACAGCAGAAGTTGAGGATGCAATACATACACTATAAAATGTGAAGACCATCGCACAATAAGTCTTATGAGTCACATGACTAAGATTTTACTGAGAATAATTATGAGAAGAATAAGAAACAAAATTAAACCAGAAATCAGCGATGAACAATGTGAATTTGTAGAAGGAAAAGGTACAAACAATGCCATATACATCCTAAGGACATTGTCAGAAAGAGCTATAGAAGTAAAGACTGATTTGTACATATGCTTCATAGACTATACAAAATTTGACTGTGTGAAGCATGAAGAAGTAATCAAACTGTTAGAAAAATTAAACATTGATGGAAAAGATCTACGAATAATAAAGAATATGTATTGGCAGCAAACAGCAGCTATAAGAATTAACAACTGTTTAGGTACATTTCAAAGCATAAAGAGGGATCTACGACAAGGATGTGTACTGTCACCTGATTTGTTTTCACTATACAGTGAATATATAATGAGAGCTTTGAATTGGTATACCAGGAATTGTGGTTGGTATAAACAATTTACGTTATGCTGATGACACAGTCTTGGTAGCAACAAGTCAGAAAGAACTTCAGGAAATGATAGACATTGTGATGTTAGAAAGTGGAAGAATGGACCTCAGTATGAATAATGGAAGACAGATGTAATGGTGGTATCAAAGAAACGAATTATTCCTAAGTGTGTAATAAAAGTTGATGGTGTTATTTTAGGACAAGTACAGAAATTTAAGTATCTGGGCACATGGATAACATCAGATGGAAGATGCATAACTGAGATAAAAAATAGAATAGGACAGGCAAAAACTGCATTTTATAAAATGAAAAACATCTTGTACAATATATATTGTCATTGGGAGTTAGAAAAAGAAATCTTGCTTGCTACATACATCCAGTTTTAACATATGGCTGTGAATCCTGGACAATCGGTAGGCAGGCCAAACAATTTCTGGAGGCATCGGAGATGTGGTTTTACAGAAGATTGCTTGGAATGCCTTGGACAGCCAAAAAGAGCAACCAAGAGGTTTTGAAAGACGGAAGGCCGAAGACAACTTATCACAGACATCAGAAGGAGACAGTCATCATTTTTCGGCCATGTTATGAGAAGAGGGAAAATGGAACATGTTGTGACCACTGGAAAGATATGTGGAAGGAGAGATAAAGGAAGACAACGAGAGAAGATGCTTAACAGTCTTGTTGCATGGCATGGAGGTGTGTCGGCACACGAACTGATACATGTTGCAGGAGATCGCAGATTATGGAGAGGCATGATCGCCCACGCCACTCGGCAAGGCACCTGATGATGATGATGATTTTTACAGACTTGGACGGGACGATTAGTAATATTATTACCATTCAGGTGAAGCTATAGTGCTCGCATGATATACGGGGGACAATTCTCCCCCACAGCAAAAGCCCTAATGATATTGTAAGAGACATAAAGGGCACTAACAGAATAAGAAGCAGTGAGTCCAAATACAATAACAGCACAGAATATAAGAAAAATAAAGCGACTAAGTCTGTAATAGGACAAATTAATTAACATGATTCCCGTGTGGGTTCCCGGGCCCAATTCTGGCAGAGAAAAAAAAAAAGTACCCACTGGGTGTTTTCTTCGAAATCAGAGTGCCTCTGCCCAAAAATCAGAGAACCAACCGCTTGCGTATGAATAAGTGGTATCCATAAAACCGATGCGCACACAAAACTGAAGTTATTGAAAAGAAAGTCCCAAACTAGTCGACTCTAACGACACGCTTGATGGGAAGGCAGGGGGTATATTCATGTTTCCTCACAGTGTGCTCCAGAACCCACACGGGGAACTTTGCTGAATTAATGAAAGACTTGAATTAGTTAACAACTTATCTTAGACAAATCCGCTGTTGAATTCCCGTTGCACCCTTCTCTCCAAAGTTTAATCATCCAATCACGATTCCACACTGGGTCCTGAGCACACACATCGTGTGATACATCAGCTCGCAACCAAAATGGTGGAGAATCAGCCGATCTGTCTGCCGATTTATCTCCTAGCAAAAGAGTACTTTCCGCAGAAAATATAAAAAGTACGCTGAGAAAAAGTGAAATATCTCAGTAGGAACAAGAAACCTCAGAGATTTTTACAGCAACACAAAGAAATGATTAGGTAAATATAGTCAGCCAACTGGGTCAGTCAAAAATAGTCAAGGAAAGGTGCATGCTTTTTGGTCATTCTCCAGCATTCCGCTCCATAAAGAAGAACTGGCAAAATGATGCTTTTGTAGAGTCTGAGTTTCGTTTCTCTGCAGTAATTGTTGGATTTCCAGATTTGCCTCATCCTTCCAAAAGCAGCTCTAGCTTTGTTCAGACTTACAAACATGTGTTGCATGCATATGGTTGTCGTGACAATAGGCCCTATGTGGAATTATGTATACATGAACCCAAATAAATCCGCGCTGTGAACAACTGTCAGAAATATGTAGAGAGGAATAAAATACTCAGCCACTTACCAACAGCAATAAATCTGGCTGGGGCGGTGGATCCTCCGTCGGGGTATTAGCTAAAAAATACAACATAAAATTCAGTAATGTCAAAGACCATCCCTTGCCTCGCCTTGCTGCGCGTGGGGCCTATGTTGTCAGGCCCCCATATACTTATAGACAAGTCGATGAATGATGTGGTCGACAATATAAAACACGCAATATAAAACTTTAACAGACAGGTCAGATCATTCTCCAACCTGTAAGTACCTAATGTTATGTGTGTGTGCACATGTGAATGAAAAAATGCGCTCATATTCCCCCAACTTCAGTCATAAATGGCATGTTCCTTTTTTGTCCACTGTAGCAAATGGAGGAGGAAATCGGAAAGGGGGTAGGAATACAGGAGAGTGAGTGCAGATGTTAAGAACTGAGCCTCTGAGAAGAAGCCTGTTAAATACATGCACTCCTTGTGTGTGTCCTTCCACATGTAGTATTTCTAGCCAGACTCGCCATCGCCATGGGTCTCCCTTTACCACAGTAAAAGACTCATCCGGAAAGTTGTAGAGGTTTTAGCAAAGTTAATTATGAAATCCTGAGAGAGAACAATATATTACTATTATTCATTTTAATAATTGGCTTTGCTAGTGCTGTGGTGGGGTGGGGTGGGGGGGGGGGGGGGGGGGTGAAGGGGAAAAAAAAAGGGGGGGGGGGGGTAGTTATCAATGCCTCGCCACATGAAACATTCAAGTACAACACTTTCCGTAGCCACATCTTTGGCAACTATCCCTAACACTAACTGCTGGAATGATGTCACGGAATTAGTTCACTTCTAACTTGAACAGTGTCCGGATCAGCTCAAGAGATACACATGACACAAAACGATTCAGATGGTATTTTACAACAGCACAAGTTAAAGTTCTACTGACCAACTATAATTCTGTACATTGTAGAAAGTTAACTACGCCACAGGGAGCCTTTTTAAAAAAAAAAAAAAACTGTTTGGACTTTAAAGTCGAGAAGACAGGTCGTTCAAAGGATACACACTGTTCTTACTGTTGTTTTCACAGCACTTGGCAGTTGGAAATCAAAAATAGTAGCCTAACGGCGATGCCCGGAAAAAAATTGGAGTTAAAAACTACCCAAAGTATTTCAGGATCCTCGCTGGTGCGACAGAGTTCGTGAACTGCGCTGAGATTCTTCAGGCTTGAGTTAGAAATAGAACGGAGCACTTATGTGTTACTGCCCTCGTGCATGATATTGATCCGTGGTATAAACCATAACTAGATATGAAAAGTAAAACTTAAATAAGAAGGAGAAGGAAGGGGAAGAATAAGAAGACGATAGAAGAAGCAAAAGCAGCAACAACAACAGCAGCAGCAGCAGAAGAAGAAGAAGAAGAAGAAGAAAATACTTTGAATCATAACAATTTAATTTATACAAAGATTTAAATTTAAAAAAAGAATCACAACAATTTAAAATATAAGAAGAAGATTTAAATACATAGAAAAAAACTTGAAACAAAAAGTGACTAATGTTTGGATAGGCAGATGTGAGTATTAATAAATAACCATAGGAGTTTCAACAACAAAAATAAGACCAAGAGGCAGAGCTGCCTTAGACAAACCTAAGTTTTGCACTTGCTCTTCTTTGACTGTAACTCCTCGTTCATCCTTTGCGAGTCCTTTAGTCGCCGAGTCGTTTTCTAGTTCTCTGTCAGCACCAGAGAAGCCTCTTTTGTCCATAAATCCGGGGTTTTCATGGCGATCATCTCTTGGGGATATTTCTTCCGCTGTGGCGTGAGCTGTGCTGGCATTACCTGGCAACGATTTGGGCTCAGGAGTTGCAGTGCTCCGATATTTACTCGCCCCTGCGTTTTTGCCGAAGCTGACATTTTGAAGACCCGGTTTACCGTTTACAGACGGCACATATTCATTGTCCACGTCAGTACTGCCAGCACCAGCCTGGAGAAAACATAAGTAGTTACTGCCAACACCAGCCTGGAGAAAACATAAGTAGTTAACGTACATGCATTAATTCAGCATGTCTGAATTCATTCATAGCCTGTGAATACCTCAAACATGTACAGACATGAGCTGGCTCTTCTGTTCGGACTCGTTGTAACCAACAGTGAGTATGTCAGATATACATGCCACCTTATAGTTCTTAGTTTAAGGAGAGAAGCAAGATTCTGGTACGACAGTCAAGCACCTACCAACATGAAGATTAAAAAATGGGGGTTGGGGGGGGGGGAGGTGGGGTTAGAAGAATTTGACCTCAGATCTCACATACGTAATGTTACCTAATCTGTCATCTTAATATGGGACGCAATTGTTCGTTTTTTTCAAAGCCCCACCCTTGCTATAGTTGGGGACCCTAATATAACCTAATAGTTGAACTGGGTTTCTAGGACCTCTCCCCGGGTGATCCTCATACGCATGGTGGCACTTTGTATCACCGGGTGTTCATCGCTTGGAGGATGTCCTGGTGAAGTTGAATCTCACTCACTCACATGTAAGGATAGCAGCTGTACCAAAAAGATCTGGGCAACAGCTGAATGCGATGCGGAAGAGCAAAATCGGCATAATAGTAAATGTCAATATATGTAAATGACTGGTATCGTCCATGAGAGTTAGACTCTAACTATGGAAATGGAAAGAAGGACTCAAGCATTCGAATATAAATCCTATAGACGAATTTTACCAGTCAGCTATTTACAGTTGTGACATCTCAATTGAAGGAAAAGGACTTAATTAAGTCAATAAATTTAAATACCTCCGAACAATCATATCATCAAATGTAAAATATGTGACAGAGATTAAAAGCAGAATAGTTCAAACGAAGGCTGCATTTCAGAAAATAAAAAATCTCTTATGTAATAAACCGTTCTCATTTAATATCAGAAAGAGGCTGCTAAAATGTTACACAGAGCCTGTTCTGCTGAATGGCAGCGAATCTTGGAAGGTCACTGAACAAATCAAGAAGAATTTGTAAGCAACAGAGATGTAGTTTCTGAGACGAATGTTACGAATACCGTGTACGGTCATAGTAACTAACGATTGCTGGAAAGAGGCTAATGAAAGTAAATCTCTATATACAACAAGAATAAAGAGACAAACACTGTTCTTTGGCACGTAACAAGAAAAGACATTGGAGAACATCGTGACAACTGGAAAGATCAGTGGAAAAGGTGGTAGCGGCAGACCAAGAGAGACAATGCTGGATGGGCTAAAACGATGGCATGGAGGGATATCATCAAGAGAGCTGTTCCAGTCAACCAGGGATCGTGATCTGTGGAGACGCATGAGCGCCTACGCCAGCTGGCAGGGCACATGATGATGATGAGCTATCTACAACATAAGACTAACAAATATGTAATAGACAAAATAAACAAATCTGCAGGAAATCAGAAACCTCTTTTGACCGAAGTGAAACAAGACTATATTTCAAGAAACACTGGGAAGGTGGGGGGGGGGGGTGGGAGAGCGGGGGTGTCAGAGAAGAGGGGGCAAAGAAGAACTTGGAATGATAACATCGAGGGGGAAAAAAGGACTAAGTTAAATACACTTGTTTAACAAACGGAAGACAGGGTGATGGCGGCTTTTGTGTGCTAATGCTTCCATCGATACACCTCCACGACCCTAACTGATCTACAGTTATGTTATGTTGTCATGTTATATGTATAATAGCACACTGTCCAACACATGTTATCTTTGTCTTCATCCGACTCTTCTATCCTTCACATTGCCCCTGTTCACGTTGTCCTCTAAACTTCCCCTGTTTGATGATGTACATAAAAGAATGCGGATTGTTTTCGTCTAACTGGCCAATCAATTTTCTCATCTGTCAAGTGAATACAATCATTTAAGCATTTGAAAGGACATAAGCTGTAGATCCAGCTTAAATACGGTGATAACCATAACACACGTAAACCAGACAAAACGCTTGTGGCATTCCACTTACCATCCGCGGTAAGCCAGACTGGGTCGCTGGATCATCCGTCGATGCAGTCATTCTATGAACTGAAATGTATTTTTCTTAAAATCGTGTGCTGTATGAAATAGTCTGCAACATTAACCTACAGAATGAGCCATCATTCAGTCATTTATTGCCGTTTACTTAAAGTAAGATCCTCATTTTTTTTTTCAAAGTAAAAACATACACATAAACACACACACACTTTGGAGAAAGATCAGACAGACAGACAGACAGACAGACAGACAGACAGACAGACAGACAGACAGACAGACAGACAGACAGACAGACAGACAGACAGACAGACAGACAGACAGACAGACAGACAGACAGACAGACAGACAGACAGACAGACAGACAGCGTAAATCAGTTCACTCAAATTCTACAACGTCAAGTACTCATGTTCACAGCTGAGTGTAAAATCTAAAGGAAACAAATATTCATTGTGAATTTGTTTTACAAGGAATCGTTGTCTGTACCAGAAAACAGCGAGACACATTAGGTCTTAGTGTGACTACATATTACTTGTCACTATGTTTTAACGATAGTTGGATACAGATTACATAAATAATTGAAATACTTGTTGCCAGGTTGGTTAAAATGAAGGATGAGGAGGATGAGGGTAGAGAGAAGAAGAAAAAGAAGAAGAGGAGAAGGAGGAGAAAAAGACGGTCCTAATAAATGGCAAACAGTTTCTTTGCACATTTTTTTTTTAAATAAACCTATTTGAGAAAAGGTGTCGATGTGATCGACTTCATTGCACCGGGTTTGATCCCATATGTCTCGGTCTCTCTCTGCAGAGCGGCTAGTCGCCTGCCGAGAGCATCGCACAGAGTACGGACTCCGTAATCCAAAGGGATTTTCGTAAAAATTGCAATTATGTACTGAACAGCGCTATTGTGAAACGAACCCACACCTTTCAGAGCACAAAGAAAACGGCTTAACCACTTCGCCATGGAGACCCCCTCCCACCCCCCCCCCCCCAAAAAAAAAATTAACCTAAAGATTAGTATAAACAAACAGTGTTCGATTTATAACACTAAAATTTATTTGAGCAGTACAATAAAGAATATAGATGTAGAAAGAAACATCGTTACATTGACAAACATAAATACATTTTAAATCAGAGACAAGTACAGCAAATATGTTGTTCGGCAGATGTATGTAGTTAACTCATGATGGACACCTGTGATACCAACAACATCTAGGTCTTAAGACTAACCTGTCAATGTTAATGCGTCTAGCATTTCCTGTCCCCCATTTACTGTAACTCCTTGTTTATCAAGGCTTTCAGTTGCAGAGATCATTGACCAGCTTTTTGAATCATCTCGTTCTTCGTCAGCACCGGAAAGGTCTCCTTTGCCAATAAATCCGTGGTTTTCCTGGGAATGACCTGTTAGTGTTGACGTTTCTTCCACTTTCGGATTCACTCTGCTGGCACTGTCTGGCACCGACCTTGGCTCAGGAGCTGCAGTGCTCTGAGATTTCCCTGCAGATGTTTGCAAGCTGACGCTTAAATCTTGAAGATGCTGGTCATCGCCTATAGACAGTACAGACTTATTGTCCGCGCCACTACTACCAACGCCCTCCTGCAGAAACAATAAATTGGTTGTAGTGTTTCTTCAATATTTGTTAATTCAGATACCAAAGGATTTTTGTGTGTTTTTTTTTTTTAGATCGGAGATAAGAGGCATCTAGTCATAAGTAATGTGACAGCTGAGAGTACCGATTCCAGATTTATGTGAAAATTAACACAGAATTTGAAAAAAAACAAATCGCCCTAAACTTTTTAATTTTAGAGATATTGAAAAATTGACACATAGCGTTCGGCAAATTGTCAACAGTCAACTTACGAACGTAAGTCAGAAATGGCAAAACATATGATTTTACAGCTACACGTCAGTTAAATAACTCATAAAACTAATAGTAATATTTTAATCTCAGTAAAGTGTACCAAATAATATAACTACAACGGATGTCAATGTTTGTATTTTGTTATGTACGCAATAAGGTCGATGTCGCATACCAGAAGTCTAATGCCCCCATAGTATCCATATTGATCCACAACCTCGTTATTAACTTTAATATTGTCTATATAGATTGGTCCAAATAACTGGGAATTTGTCCTTGTGCAAAACTGGGAATTTGTCCTTGTGAACACACCATTCCTCCATCGCGATGTATATATTTAGTATTTACAACATTGTATGGTTAATGGTAACGTTAATACAAATTAACTAAGTTACTAACCTCTAGAAATGTTACATTTCCGAGAGACGATCGACGTGTGGACTGAAATTCGACGTTAGCGTCAACTTGAAAAGCGTAAATAATTATATGTAATACTAGTATTATCCAAGTAAAATGACTCTGCAGGAGATTCATTATTACTCAAGACGGTGAAAACTCAAGTAAATCAATGTATATATATATTATCTTGTAGATGGCGACTACCCCTCTACCAGACATGTGTCCTCACGACCAATGAGCTTGGTAGACGACAACGGACTGGTCTGTCTGTCACATGTGTCAGTTTAGTTTGGTGCGGATCATTGCCCGCCGGGTAAACCCGTACCCGCTCCACGGTGTGTGTGTGTGTATTTGTGTGTGCGTTTGTGTGTGTGTGTATGTGTGTGAGTGTATGTGTGTGTGCGTTTGTGTGTGAGTGTGTGTGTTTGTGTGAGTGTGTGTGAGTGTGGATTTAGGAGGGAGAAAAAAAAAAGGAAGGGGGGGGGGGGGGGGTACGCAGTACTGATTTACTGATTGCCGACGAGGATTGTTGGTAAAAAAATTAGAGAACTGGCACATCAGATACCAACTTGGGCATTAAAACTTAAAAGGTCTGACATGAATATTAGAAAATGCATAAGGATAAGATGAAATGATGACATTAAAGGCATTAGTTGAGTTAAGTCAAGAATTTACATCACAGTTCTCGGTGTATTCACACGCGTGCTATTACTATTATTACATAGCTACCTATGTCATGGTTCTCTTTGAACAATCACATTGTCAAGTCGGACTTACCAGAAGTGAAAATGCGTGATAATATATTGATCAGAACCAACGTTATGACGTTTCTCGGGGTGAGGTTCGATCGCAGCTTGTCATTCAGGGAACACGTTGACCATGCGATAACAAAAGCACGCAAAGGTCTATCTGCATTGAGGATTATGGCTGCTTCCAATATCGAGCAAAGACTACTAATACTTCTATTCTACGGTCTGGTCCTTTCACCCATTGAATACGCTCTGGCCATCCTCACTGTCAGTGCTACCCAGATTGAAAGACTCGAAAAGGTGCAAAATGAAGCCATGCGCATTATTTTTGGGATGTACAAGAGACACATCCTGTGGAGCAATGAGGTATCTACTTGACTTTCCAACAATGAACCAAAGGATCAGGATGTGGAGGGCTCGGGCATACCTCAAAATATGTGCTGATAAGAAACACCCACTGCATCAAGCGCTTTTTAGTGAAAAGGGCGACAGACTGAAGAGGGGAAAATCGTGGCTAGGTCGGGCAGAAGATGTTATTAGGCAAATATGCAGCCTAACCGACATCATACCTGGTGCAGAATGGATACCTGTGCCTCAGGCGTTTATTTGTACATTTTCCTGTATTGTCACACTCAACAGGCGATGTAGAGAAGAGAATCCTGTTGCTGTTAATGCAGAGGTCAACGCTCTCATCGGTGAAAATTCAGACGAAGCAGATGCACTAATCTACACAGACGGATCCGTTATACGCCAAAGAAGAAGCGCATGGGCATTTACAGCACGCTCAGCGGGCAGAACAGTCAAAGAAGCCAACGGTGCCTTCTCCATGACAACCAGCAGCATGACGATGAAGGTGATGGCAGTGACGCAAGCGTTTGCCTGGCTTGAAACACAAAAATACACCCGCATATGTATACTCAGTGATTCAATGAGTATGATCCGGAGGGTTCAGGCAGGTTCAGTGCGAAGACAATGGCTTGAATCGTTACAGAAGTCCACTGTGCGTGGAGTCACCTTTATTTTTGTTCCGGGACACGCAGGCGTCGATGGAAATGAAAGAGCTGACAGGTTGGCTGGATCCGCTATCACTACCGACGGTCGGCCTATGGATCATGCTGATATTATCAATGCCCTCAGAGAAATGGGAAGGATAGAGGACTTTGGTGGCAGTGAATCCACATCACTTGCCAGAATGGCAGACTTGGGAATTAAGATCGGCACAGCAAAAAACGAGACGCACACCGGACACATCAGAAGACTTGTTAATCAACATAGAACTGGTACTATTAGCCGTTGGGGTTCATACTGAGGGGAGGATCTGAGCACCTATGGACATGTCCGGAGTGCAATGACGATAACCCAACTAACTAACTAACTAACTAACATAGCTACCTAATTGCCTCTTCCAAAACCAGGATAAGATCATTTCAAACACAGCGGTTTCAGGATTATCACTCTAAACAATAATTGGCAAGGTGCTAGAGAAGATGACTGCTGTTAAACTACAAAAATTTTTTTTATTTTTTTTTGGGGGGGGGGGGGGGGGGAGGAAAGAAATGCTGCCAAAAGGTTTGGGTAGTTACCGGCCACAGAAAGATACCTGGTCAAATGCAGCTACTTTTGCTTTTGATGTTTATGAGGGGTTCCAAAACAGACAGAAACGGTTGTTGCAGCACTTTATCTTGAGGATGCCTACAATAGAGTCAGATATGATGTTTTGATATCGGCACTCATGGACAAGAGGGTTTATCCCTGGCTTGTGAACTGGATAGCAGCTGTCCTGCATTAACGTATGGTTGCTCTTCGCCAGGGCACATGGACCTCAGAACCATGTAATTGCAGACCTAGAAGCGCCAGGTGTTAGAAGGATATTAACATTTGCCGATGATGTTTTTGCATGTAGGCAGGGGAGTGATAGGCAACGGATGTTGTTCATCCATCATATGTGATGAAGACCACTTTTATCCACAGTAGTAATGGCCAATGATTGTGGGTACGAAGCTGGCTGATTAGTCCACTATGAGCCTGGGAAGTTCTTGAGCAGTGCCGACACCAGGTGCAAGCCGCAGTAAGTGTGGGATTAGTAGTACGATACTTTCTAGTCTGCTTCCGTTTCTCTGCCTGTGCAAGCTCTGCTGGATGGCAAGACGATGCACAATGCCTGAGGATGTAAGCCATCCAGAACAGCCAAGCAACGGATAGCCCAAGAGCTACAGACAACTGTAGACAAAAAGATTGACTGGTGTACAGAAAAAGGTGCTGTCATCAATTCGGCAAAGGCGGCTGTTTTATGGTGCTCTCTGGACAATAGAATTGTAAGATCTAATCTTCCTCACAATCAATAACAATAACATCAAAAGTGAAAGCAAACCGAGGTACCTGGGTAAAATTTTCGATAGAAATCTGCCCTTCATAGACCATATAAAGGCAGGTGCTGTGAAAAGCTAAAAAGGACCCAGTGTGCTCGAGATTATGGCAGCAATGGACTTTTAATAAAGAATGCTGTTTACAATGTTCCGCATGTGATCCTGTCGGTGACAGATTATGAATTTGGAGGGCTTACCACATCAAAGAATGAGCTGATAAAACTTGAACGCATACAGAACGAAGCCATGCGGGTAATTCTGGGGCGTACAAGAGATGCCCCAGCAGTATGTATGAGACACATACTTCTACTGTCTACTATTGCTGATAGGCTCACAGTTCTGCAAGCAAAGTCATATCACAGAGTGGCTGCAGACAAGAAGCACCCCCTGCACGTCGTTTGGTGCAGCAAAGCCTGGCATTTGATATCACCATGGCTGGTTTTAGAATAGAGGTGGAGGCAGTCACTGCTGCCTTCCACTGGCTTGAGAATCAGCTGTACACACATGCCGTGATTGTAACTGACTCACAGATCATGTTGAGAAAGATAGAAACAGGCATGCTATATACAGAGTGGCAAGCATCACTTTAAAAGTCCCGGATAGTTGGCATCCTTAGGATATTTCCTCTAGGTCCTTCCGGTGTGTTGGGAAATGAGCAGGCAGATAGACTGGCCGATTCTGCACCACTTGGTGGTGAAGTGATATATGACAGACTGGATGTTGTGAGCGCTCTTTGAGAACGATTGAACAGTGCGGGAGCGCAAATAAAACATTATGGTCTAGGGAGAATGTTGCTGCGAGGAGTTACAAGGGGATCTGGCTGGCGCTCAACACTCATGGGAAAAGCGTGATTGATATACAATCAGACAGTTACTGGTGCCATCGGAATTGGAACTCTTCACTGGCTGCTTAAGATGGGGACGGAGCGCTTATGGGGGTGTCCCGAGTGCTTTGATGTCGATTCTTAATTCAACATTCAACATAGAAAGGGGTAAGATAACAGCCATTGTCATCTATCGGGCGCTGGACAGCAAACTATTCTTTGCTGCGTAGTTTAAAGGCAAGCTTGGATGATAATGATGATTTCGACCTTTACTCCCAAGAAGTTACTTATATCCAGTGCAATCCCCCCCCCCCCCACACACACACACACAAGTGCTGGCGGCCCCTACTCCTCCTCCCTGGCACTAAGCCTTCTGCACTTTTCTGTTTGTGGCGCTTAAAATGGCTAACATATCTCAAAAAATATTTATTTGGGTTCCCTTGCTGGTGGTTAACCACAGACTTTTAATGCTGTTTAATCTTTGCATTGCTATGACTATTATTCGTCTGCTTCGAGTGAACAGTTCCCATTGCTGTTTAAAATGGGAGCCTAGATATTCAAAGTTTAAAACATGTTCAGTTTCTTCATCGTGTAGTACACTGATAGAATTCCGGTGTAAACAGCCACAATGGCGGCACGCTTTTTCGTCCGTTGAGGCGAATGGCGCAAATTAACTATTTTCGCTCACGTATAATGTGAAAGTTTCATCGGAATGGGGTCTGAACCGTGCAATGGAGTACATGCACGTGAGTTCACACTTCCCTCAGGGTGTATTCAACGTCCGATGGCGACTATCTACCAATTCAAAACAACCCGTAGACGGACAAGGAGAACGCGAACAGGCAAGCACGGTGGCGCCTGCAGGAAGCGACTGAAATGTGAGAGACTCAGCTTAAAGTATGTTCGCGTTCTCTACTGGAACTGCGCCTCGTTCTGTCAACGCCGACCCATTTTCGAGAAGCTCCTCTACAGCAACGACATTGTTGTCCTACAGGAAACACACCTCGGTGACGAGATGGTTAAAAATTGCGGGCTTCCAATCCTTCTACAATAGACGGCACCTCGGACAGCTCATTCTTGTTCGTGACCACATACTGGTGTCTGAGGTGGACATGTCTGAGTGGGATAATGATGACCTACAAGTACACGCAGTCAGAGTGATGAGCCCGGCCCAGTTTGTGATTGTCAATGTGTACG